TCCTCCGCACCGGCCCCGCCGCGCTCCCCCCGCGCCTCGCCGGCCACGACACCCCCGCGCCGCATCCCCCCCGCACCCCCGGGGGGTTGAGCCCCGGGAGGGCTCCGAGGGGTTATAATGACCCGCGGGACACAAAACCGCGTCAGAAGCCCCGCTGGGAGGTGGTTTATCCAGCGCTGCCGAGCCCGGCCCCTGTGACAGCGAGCGGCAGGGACGGAGCGAAGGTCACGGGCTGGGAGCCACCGGGACAGTCGCTGCTGACCTTTAAAACTAACTCCGGGAACACGTAACGCCGGCTGGGGGAAGGATGGGTGAGTACCTGGCAGGCAGGAGGGGTTCTAGAGCCCGGCTCATCCACGCACTCTGTCAAAAGACGGTTTTGCAGCGTTAATACCGATAAAAACATGCACTTCAGGTAATGGCGATTCCCAGAAGGTTTGCTGATGAGCCATTTCGTGTCATCCACTGACAAGAAAGAAATGGCAGCGTATTAACTTCAGGTTTTAGGATTAGAAGGATAAATTTTGCGAGAGAGGGAGGAGAAAGCAGTAGCAGAGTAACTGAGTCAGGCACAAATGAGAGTCCACAGCAGGTACGCACATGGTAAACTTCATTTGAACTTGTTTACAAAATTGACAAAAAAATATCACCTTGTAAACTTATTCACATTTGTTGGAGCTCACAGAACTGGTTATACTGGCATGCTGAAATAAAGATTGTCAAGCCTCGTCTCACCCTGGATGACACCAAGTGAGTTGACCTTTTAACAGCAGCAACAAACTCGGCATGGAACGAGATTTAAAGCTTGCACTGGGAAGGAATTTCTCCAGCGGTTTTGTACCACAGCGAAAGGGCCAGGTCTGATTCCTGATGCTCCCCTCAAGCAACTGAGCATCAGCAGATTGTTGGATATAATCTGAAAGCTGTGATGAACTTTGGGCATCACCTCACCCAGTGTGGTCCTCAAGGGCCATCAACTGCATCAGAAATGGAAGCAGTGGAGAAAAAGATGGAGTTTTATCAAGTGTAATGCAATATACTTTGTCATTTCCTGAAGTTTGCCCTCTAGTCAAAGGCCTCAAAAGAGCACAAACCCTGTTCCTAAATGGGATCATTCAGGGAAGGAGGGAGGAGGGGCAGAGGGAGATAAGATGCACAGTATTTTTTTACATAAACAAAACTCAAGCGTTTCCAAAGTGACCAGCAGCTCATCCCTCTACCATCAAATCTACCACTCAGAACTGCAAGACAGGAGCTTTCCCCAACTCCAAACCACACTGGCTCCACCTCATCAACTGCAGAACAACAAAATGGAAGTAAACTGAAAATATACTTGGAAGCATTTTTTTGGTAACCACTTTTCACTCCCAGACCTCAGATTTCAGAAATGGAAGCACAGAGACATCAGCTTTCTGAGACACCCACACATTTCAGTAGCAGTCAGATCACAAAAGCAGTAGGTTTGAACAAGAATGACATAAAAATAAACCAAACCTCATCAGTTGTATTCCAGGGAATGAACCAACTTAATGTGGTCAGGAGCACCCTTCTGTGAAAACCAGGGAAGAGCCTGAATCTGCTCTGAAAGGCAGGAGAACTCTCACCAAGGCTCTTCTCCAGCACAAATGGGTTAACAGCATCAACATCACTAAACCTGGGAATATTTTTGGTATAGTGTCCCCTCCCCTGCTCCCCTGGACAGAAGGCCAGCACTGGGGACTGCAGAAAACAGCCACTCCCAAATGTTAAAGCAATTACAGGTATTAAAATCCTTCACTTTCTACACCCAGGCTGCTTTAGAAAGCACTGTAACAGCGAGGAATAAAATATTACAAAGTTACTGAAACAAGAAAATGAACTCTAATTCCTTTAGACTTTGAGGTACATTAACAGCAACTGGGTTATCAGTCTCCAGAGTTAAAAACAAAATCTAACCTGTGTGACTGAACACCACCAAGGTACTTGGAAGACATCCCATATATCCCTAAGAGCTGCTCTCAGCAGTGTCCGTGGCATTTGGCTTCACCAAACTGCTCCAAGGGATTCCTGGGGTCAAGGGTCCCTTGGCTGGGCTGAACTGAGCAAACTTGGGGGGGGAGGGAGGGAGGGAAAAACGAGTGAAATATAAATAATTCACAAACTGTTTTGTGCAAATTTTTTTTATTTCCACATTTATATCACAACGTGTCCACTTAAAGGACCAAATAGCAAAGTTGCTCCCTTCTGCATCCCAGGAACACAGAAGTCTAGTTACTGTACATTCACTAAGGCTCTTTGTTTTTGCAAATTGCGTTTATGATGGATATCCATAAGGCAAACAATATCTAAAGGAATGGTAACAAGTATATTTCCAGCATACAAACAGGCTTCCTTTTTCCCTCTCACAGTACAGTTACAAACTTGTAGCACCCTCATTACATTTAGATTCTAGAAAAGGTGATTTTTTCTTTTTATTTTTTTTTTGTCTTTTTTTTTTTTTTTTTTTTTTTTTTTTTTTTTT